GTCCCCGCACGCCCTAGTGATCCCGCTGGATGCGGCTAGTTCCAGTGGCGGCAACAGGGGAAATTTATCGAAATCGAGTTTACTGCCCAGCAGGGCTAAAATTAACGTCAGGAGGTGGACGTCAGTGGGTTTCTGCTTGGCACCAGCATCCGTGCTGGTGAGGGCAAGCGGCAGGCAATGAAATGAGGCAGCAGTGGTGCAGCGCCATGGGTCTGGGCCGAAGCCGTGGGGACGGGAGAGGTCAGGGAGCATTAAAGTGTTTGGCTTTGTCGCCGCGCAGGCATTGACTGCTGTGCTCGATGGCCTTGGAGCAGCATTTTCTGGTTTCAGGAGATCCGTGTCAGCGTTTGTTTTGAATGTCTAAAGCATGAAGGGGAGGGTGTGACCGTATGTGAAGTTCCTCTGCTTTTCTTTTTAATAGCTGAGGGTTAGGGGCTCTCTCCTGGGATCCACCACTAAGGAACATGGATCTCAAGCATTAAGTTTCTCAAGCTCTAAGCATCCCCAGCAGCGTGGCCAGCAGGGCGAGGGGGGATTCTGCCCCTCTGCTGCGCTCTGGGGAGACCCCCCTGCAGTGCTGCCTCCAGCTCGGGGGGTCCAACAGCAGAAGGACACGGAGCTGTTGGAGCGGGGCCAGAGGAGGGCACAAAGATGCTCCGAGAGCTGGAGCCCCTCTGCTGGGAGGAGAGGCTGAGAGAGTTGGGGGTGTTCAGCCTGGAGAAGAGAAGGCTCTGGGGAGACCTTAGAGCCCCTTCCAGTGCCTAAAGGGGCTCCAGGAGAGCTGGGGAGGGACTCTGGATCAGGGAGGGGAGCGATAGGATGAGGGGGAATGGTTTTAAACTGAAAGAGGGGATATTTAGATAGAGATTAGGAAGAAATTCTTTCCTGGGAGGGTGGTGCGGCACTGGAACAGGCTACTCAGAGAAGCTGTGGCTGCCCCATCCCTGGAGGTGTTCAAGGCCAGGTTGGATGGGGCCTTGAGTGACCTGGTCTGGTGGGAGGTGTCCTTGCCCAGGGCAGGGGGGTTGGAACTGGATGATCTCTAAGGTCCATTCCAACCCAAACCATTCTATGATTCTAAGTACGTCAGCCAGCACAGCCAGTGAAACACCACATGGCATCTGGGACACTTGTCTGTCAGGGCTGCGGGAGGCGATGGCTGTGCTGTGGCACTGTGCTACCCGCCAGTGGTGGGTACCACCAGGCATAAACTGAAATGAGTCACTGCAGAGTGGAGAAGTGCCTTTTCTGTTGCCTTCTCCCTCTGTTTTGGACCCAGGCATACTGTTCCTTGGGTCTCTCCTCTTGAATTGTGGCTTTTTGAGGTTTGTTGGTGACTGCATTGTCCCTTGTCCTTGTCTGCAGATGGGGCTTGGCCAGCTTTGGCTTTGCCCATTTCACCTGGCAAACAGCTGGGCTCTTCTGGTTTTCCTGAGCTCCTTCTTTCCTTTCTCTCCTGGTAAGCCGGGAGTGATGGGACCTATGAAATACTTGCATATGTGTTAAGGTGGGGAGTTGCTTTCAGGGAGATGGCAGCTGCTCTTGCACCGGAGCCGTTGAGGAGTCGATCTCCGAGCAACGGGGCCTTCCGCTGACTCAGCGGCAATGCTGCTTCCTGAGCTGCTCCTCTCCCCGCAGGGTTCCTGCCTGCCCCTGCTTGATAATCAGCAAACGAGAGAGTGCTCCAGTCTGCATTACCCCTTTGCCAGTATCGACCTGCTCCTTTCCTGGTGTATATCCTGCCCTGGGTGGGCCTGTGGCTGAGATTCTGTGGGATGAGCCATGCTGCTCCAGGCTGTGATCAGCAGCTTCTGCTCAACTGGCTTTGCCGCATGGGTCAAAGAATCACAGACTCATAGAATGGTTAGAGTTGGAAGGGACCTTAAAGATCATCTAGTTCCAACCCCTCTGCCACCTCCCACCAGCCCAGGTTGCTCCAAGCCCTGTCCAACCTGGCCTTGAACACCTCCAGGGATGGGGCAGCCACAGCTTCTCTGGGCAACCTGTTCCAGTGCCTCACCACCCTCACAGGAAAGAATTTCTTCCTAATCTCTATCTAAATATCCCCTCTTTCAGTTTAAAACTGTTCCCCCTCATCCTATGGCTCCCCTCCCTGATCCAAAGTCCCTCCCCAGCTCTCCTGGAGCCCCTTTAGGCACTGGAAGGGGCTCTAAGGTCTCCCCAGAGCCTTCTCTTCTCCAGGCTGAACACCCCCAACT